TGGTAAAGTGGAGGGTCAATGAAAAAGGGGAAGGCCCTCAACAAGATGGATTAACACAGTGGCTGCAATGAGCCCTCAGGTATAGCAAAGATCGTGGGGTTGGCACAGGACCAGGCAGTATTTCATTCTGCTTTACATGAGGTCACTATGAGTCGAAGGTGACTCAGGCAGCTAACAACAACAACAATACCTAGAATAAGCAAATCAACTAGAAAAATACAAAAAGCCCAAAAGAAAATTGAACAAAGCTGTGAACTGATGATTCACAGAACTGGAATCCTAAATAGCTGCCAAGTTACATGTTAGAGAAGCAAGACCTGGTGGTGCAGTGATTAAAGCTTTTGGCTGCTAATCAAAAGGTTGGTGGATCAAACCCACCAGCCATTCTGTGTGAGAAAAATGTGGCAGTTTGCTTCTATAAAGACATTACAACCTTGGAAACTCTGTGGAAGCAGTTCTACTCTGTCCTATAGGGTCATTTTGAGTTGGAATCCACTTGACAGCAGTGGATTTGGTTTTGGTTTTATGTGTTACAGATCCTCAGCTTCATTGTTGTTGTTGTTAGGTGCTGTCAAATTGCCTCTAACTCATAGCAACCCTATATACAACAGAACGAAACACTGCCCAGTTCTGCGCCAGCCTCACAATCCTTGCTATACCTGCCGGTAATATATTAGACAGCGTTTCACTGCTATTCATAAGGTTTTCACTGGCCAATTCTTTGAGAAGTGGATGGCCCCTTCCTCCGTCTGAGTCTGTCCTTGTCTGGAAGCTCCGCTGAGACCTGTCCACCAAGGGTGACCCGGGTATTTGAAACACCAGCATCATAGCCTCCAGCTGCACAGCATCACACAAACCACCACAGTACGACAAACTGACAGACGAGTGGTGACAGATTTCACTAGTGAGCAGAAAAATGCAAATTAAAACAACTCTGACAGGCTTCTTTATAAATATCAGATTAACGGAAATTAGATGGAGCTCTGGTAGCGTAGTGCTTAAGGCACTTGAGTGCTAACCAGAAGGCTGGCGGTTCAAACCCACCAGCCACTCCTCAGAAGGAAAGTTGGACAATCTACTTCCGTAGTGATACCTCCTCAGAAACCCAAGGAGGGGCCGTTATGAGTCGGGTCTGACTCGACAGCACATAACAACAAATGTGACTTAACTCTCAGCCAAACCCTAGATGGGCCTACAAGCTGAACAACTACCCCAGAGAGATGAACTCCTTAGAATAATCAACCGTGGGAGATCAAAAGGGCAGCATTTGCACTGGGAGAAAGGTAGGGAGGCAGGAATGTACAGGCAAGAAGGACGCAGGGAAAGGGTAACCACAGAGAGAGAGCTGTTGCACTGTGGGGATTGTAATCAGGGTCACAAAACAAGATGAGGATGAACAGCTGAATAAAAAAACAAATCTGCTTTGTAAAATTTCACCCAAATCACAATAAAAAAGTTTTTTAAAAAAATTAGAAAATCAAATAGCAGTAAAGACTGTCAAGGATATAGGAGAATGGGAATCTTAATGTGGTGATGGTGGGAGTATAAACTGGTAGAGCCATTCTGGAGAACAGTCTGATAGTTCTTTGTCAAACAGAGAATTCATGTACCTTATTTTATAATAGTCCTGGATACATGCCAGGAAGTCCATCACCCAAGTCCAGTAGAGAACATGCACAAAGATGTTCACTTGAGTTTTTGTAGCAATGGAGAGTTGAAGACAATCCAGATGTCCTCCCTGAGGGGTAATGGAGAAGTGAAATAGCTGGATGCATACTATAAATTACCAAACAGCAATAAGAAGCAATAGATTATACATACTGCAATATAGATGGTTCCTTAAAAAATGCTGTTGAGAAAAGGTAAGACACACAATGATATCTGAAGCACAATGCCATTTGTAGAAATACTAAACACACACACACACACCTATAAATGAAACACACTAGTTAGTGCCTATGAGAAGAGAGGAACAGGAGTGAAAATAGAGGAAAAGAGGGGAAAAAATTGGCCATGTTTGAATTGATAGTGATAATCTATAGCTCTGCTCCTGAGATACAAAATACAAAATAAAGAAAAGAAAGATATAAAATCAAGGAAATATGTGGCAGGGTCATCAGATGAGATCTTGGAATGGAAAAAAGAGGAAGATATTATGGAAAATAGTCTCCTTGCAGATTCAGAAAATGAACTTATTCCAGGCAGTGTTAAATGCCCATTGGAGGTTTGTGGCCCTGAATTGTAAGGGAAACCACTAAGCCCCTTTGTGTGATTCTCCATCATTACATGACTTCCCAGGTAGGGGTACAGAGAAGAGAGGAAAGAGAGTTATTTTTGGTTTTAAGGTAAGAGAAATTGGGTATATTTTTAAAAGCTAATAGGAATGTTCTAGTAGAAAGAGAGGTTGAGGATATTGGAGAAAGAAGCGGTAAACAAATGAAGAATAGGAATACTATGTCTACCCCCTCCCCCACCACCACCAAGCACAGCAATGGGCACCTCTTATGCTGAGATTTAGAGAAGGATGGAGTAGATACCAAGTTTATTATCAGTGAGGGAGAAGCAGAATTGAAGAATTCTCATCTCAGCCTTGTCTTGGCTATGAACAGACCTAAAATTCGTACATGTCACTGGATTTCCCAGGCTCACTCCCCATTCAGGTGTCCCACGAATGATAACTCTGATGACAGCACACATCTCAAGCCTACATGTACAATAGGATGCTTCTAAATCTAAAATTATTCACCCAGCTCTCATTTGCTGCTGGTGGTGAGCCTAATTAGTACAGTTTCTCTAGAGAGACATTTATCAATATCCTTGCAGTTATTTGTACCATTTTATTCAGCATTGCACTCTAGAAATTTATCTAAGGAATTAATAAGAGTATATGAGGATTTACATGTAAGGATATTCAGTCTAGTGTGAGTCCTAGATAACAAAAATTGACCACCACTTAAATATTTCAACAGAACGCAAACACACTGCCATTGAGTCAGACCCGATTCATAGCGACCCCTCCTTGGGTTTCTGAGGCCATATCACTACAGAAGTAGATTGCCCAACCTTCCTTTTGAGGAGTGGCTGGTGGGTTTGAACCTCCAGCCTTCTGGTTAGCAGTCAAATGCCTTAGGCACTATGCCTCCAGAGCTCATCCCTTCAACAGTAGAGGACTGGTTAAATTAAATAATAGGATGAATATGTTGTTGTTATGTGCCATCAAGTCGGACCCGACTCATAGCCACCCCTCCTTGGGTTTCCAAGGCAGTATTACTACGGCAGTAGATTGCCCCATCTTCCTTCCGAGGAGTGGCTGGTGGGTTAGAACCACCAGCCTTCTGGAGGATGAATATAGAATATTTTATATAGAATATTTTATTGCTGTTAAAATAATGTTTTCCAATAATAGTAGCATAGAGAAATGTGTATACTAAAACACTGTGCACAGGCTGATTTTTGAGTATCCAGACAAATTAACGCTCCTGGACACTACTTAGAACCGAAGTGCTTAGCCAACCTTTTGCGTACTTTGCAAGACTTCATTCTGAATGATTTCTCCAGGGGGAACCTGCTCACTTTGAATATCTGATGTACCCATTACACTCTGCATCCATCACTGGTCTCGCTACCTGCATCCGCAAACCTCTTGTTGCCACCTGTTCTCTGGATCGATCTGTTCGCATCTGGAATTATGAAACAAAGTAAGGAATGAAAGGCTTTGTTACTGTGTATGCAAGATTTCAACTGTTGAATGTCATTAATGTGAATTATTTTAATTAGAATTTTAATTATTTTACTTACCAGTTTCAATTTTTAATTACTCAGAAGCTTTCAGTTGGAAAAGTGTTTGTTTTTCTAATCAAGTCAGTCAACTTTCCTATTTCTCACTCTTGCATGACTAAAAAATTTCTTTGTGGTTTATTAGTGTCTACCACATCCAGACACTAGTCTAGACACTAGGGACATATATTACCTTCTTTCTTAATTTCTTCTGTCATTCCAGCTCTCCTAGTCCTTCATTCCCATTGGATCTGCTTTTTGCTTCATGGAATTCTCCAGGCCATCAGTCCTTCCACTTTTTTTCCTCATCGTCCAACCACCTTCAACTCCCCAGTGATTTTATCCCCCTGCCTAAGTTTTCCTGAAAATCTCTAACCCTAGATTGGCCCCTTACTGTTTTCTTTGCTCTTATATACAACTGCTAATACCAGCTGGAAGAAATTGTACAATACTTGTGATTTTTAGAATCTAAACAGAGCTGTGTTTTCAACATCGCCAGACAGTCGCTTGACCAGTCCCCCTTAATTTATCAGACTCAGTGCTGGACACTATCTTCAAATAACCAAAATCTAGAAAAGAGAGATGGTAAATCAGTAATTACAAGCAATAAAGTTCTCAAATGTTATGATAAAAATATAGAACAGGTACAATGGAAGAATTGAAGGATTTAGTGGGCTAGGCTTATAATTCAAGAATTTGATCTTTTTCCCAGCACTCTGGAACTATATAAGGAATACCAAGAAGAGGCATATACCATCAGCCTGCACCCATCTGGACACTTCATTGTAGTAGGGTTTGCCGACAAACTACGCATTATGAATCTACTCATTGATGATATACGTTCTTTCAAAGAATACTCTGTCAGAGGATGCAGAGAGGTAAGGCTGCTGGGGATAAGGTTAAGACCCTTGGGAAGCTAGTATGGAAATATCAAGAACTAATGAGTTCTGGAAGGAGCTCTGGTAGCATAATGCCTAAGGCACTTGACTGCTAACCAGGAGGCTGGCGGTTCAAACCCACCAGCCACTCCTCGGAAGGAAGGTTAGGCAATCCTACTTCCATAGTGATAACTGCCTCAGAAACCCAAGGAGGGGTCGCTAGGAGTCAGGTCCGACTCGATGGCAAATAACAATAATAACAACAACGAGTTCTAGAAGGTGAGACCAAAGTCTGTCTTACAGAACTTGAACCAGTTGCTATTGGGTTGATTCCAACTCACAGTGCCCCTGCCTGTGTCAAAGTAGAACTGTGCCCCACAGAATGTTTTCAGTGGCTGCTGTTTGGAAAGCAGGTGGCCAGGGCTTTCTCTCAGGGCCCCTCTGGGTGGGCTTTAACCTCCAGCCGTTCAGTCAACAGCTGAGTACATTACACAGAACTTCAGGGGCTTAAAAAAAGAAGAGAGGATCAGAGACACAAATGCAGATGCTGGGATCATTGTCCAAGTAATGCTGAACAAGTGTATAATAATTTCACTTAGGTTGTTAGAAAAATTAAAAACTGTAGAAGACTTAATGGGTCTCTCTCATTAAAAAAAAAAAAATCTGTAGAAGGCACTAAGGAGGCAAACTTGAGAAATCTTTTTTGAGTGATTCTCAATTTTTCTCTCTTGGTTTTTTTTTTTTTTTTTCTCTGTGTGTGTGTGTGTGTGTGTGTGTGGACCCTCTGCAAAAGCTTCATTCCTTACTATGAAGGTTAATTTTCTATCTAGAATTAGAAGTTTACATTATTTCCTCCTATAGACAGTAGTACAAATAGTTCATTTCTTTGCTGATAAAGAAATATGCATAAATGATGATTCAAAAAAAAAAGAAAAATCCAATTATCCCACCAAATTCATTGAGTATATGATTCTATCCCCTTTTCCTTATGCGCACCAAAATGGTTCATTGAACCCCATACCTTGTGAGATCCACCTGCAGTAAGTCCTTTCTGTAACTGGAGTATTAAGAAAGAGAAGTATTGGAAAAGAAATGTAGTGTCAGAATCAGAGTTGCTGCTGGGAAGGCAAAATTGGAGATTGGAAAATAAGCATCAGCAGTGAAAGGCAATTAGCAGCCCATCAGATTTAACCCTGAGATGACTTGCAGAAATAAGATAATGATTTTGGGAATCATTTACCCACTCAGAAGCAGTCCTTTTTCAGACAAAAATGAGTGCTCTACCTGATATTGATGCAAGCAGCTTAATGATTTGTGCACATGGCAGTGTCAGCATCCTGGCTGGTAGGAGCTATACAAATAGTGAAACAGAAAATGTTAGTCCTATTTGCACTTCCTCCACTGTCACTCACACATATAGCTTCACCCTGAACTCTTTCAGAAAAGCAACTCTTGACCATAACCTCCATTCGATTTTTCATTTCTTTCTTTCATTCTTGCTCTCTTATATTTTTGTGCAGTGTTGCTTTAGCCATGGAGGTCACCTGTTTGCTGCAGTTAATGGAAATGTGATCCACATTTATACCACCACAAGCCTGGAGAACATCTCAAACCTGAAAGGGCACACAGGGAAGGTAAGTGTGTGAACAGTGTCTAGAGAAATAAGGCTAGCACTTTGCTCAGCATTGGGATACAGGTGAACAAAGGAGAAATGATTCCTTTCCTCATGAAATTCACTGTCTGCTTGGGGAAAGAGATTATTAAAACAAATACACGGATAAATTTAATTACTAACTATAATAGACTCAATGAAAGAAAAATGCAGGCTGTTATGAGAGGAAATAATTAAGGAGTTGGCATAATTTAGATTAGGGTGCTTGGTCCTGAAGGAGTGGGTGAAATTAACCAAGCAAAAGGGGTAGGGATGGTCATGGCAGTTAAGGATCCAAAGACGCTGAGATGAGTGGGTGTATTGGGTATCAGAGGAACTGGAAAGTCTGTAGGGCTGGAACATAGTTATCATGGAATGAGCTGAGATGGAAGAGGTTAGCAGGGTCCTAAGTACAGGGGAGCTCTGGTAGTGTAGTGCTTAAGGCACTTGACTGCTAACCAGAAGGCTGGTGGTTCAAACCCACCAGCCACTCCTTGGAAGGAAGATGAGGCAATCTACTTCCATAGTGATGCTGCCTCGGAAACCCAAGGAGGGGTCGCTATGAGTCAGGTCCGACTCGACGGTATATGACAACAACAACAACAAGTACATGGGACCTTGTATGCCTTTTAAGGATATTATATGTTATTTTCCTATTTCTTGCAATAATTAAAATTTGGGAGAAGA